CCTATTTTTACCTCCTATCATTGGGTTAATTTGGCATATCAGTTCATATTGACATCGCTGCCAACTTTAGGCCAGTGTTACACTGTATGGTCTATCCGTTTGCTTTTTTATCTTTCAAAATTGCAGATTTTTTCGAAAGAATCGATTATAACGTGGAAATTTGACAGATATCCATTTAATCTTCGCGTAGTAAGCCTCGTTGCATACGGAGGAATATTCGCTGTTTCGGCTGACCATTCTACGAGCCGATGGTACTCAAGCAGCGAGTGGAGCAACCGTCCGCCAACTGACTTCTACATAAAGCGCCACGTATTTTCTTTTAAAAACCACTGAAAATTATATTACGAAGAGTCTATGTCCCTTCAAAAATCCATTGATTTCTTTGCCTACTTCAGAGGCAAAAGTTTAGAAAGGCTATATGTTTATTCGGGTTGGTCAGCAATACGGATTTTACTAATAGTTTCCTTCTCCTTCCCCGAGTTTTCCAATCACCCACAGAACATATGAGGCATATGTGTCTGCCAACAAAAAAAATATAGAAAACACATGCAATTGCAAGGTAGTGTTACCCGTAATCAGTGAGTTTCAGGAGCAGCATAACATTTTTCCTACTGAATTCGATTATTTGTTGAACTTTGTTTTTAGGTATTTATGAATGTGGGGGTAGAACCTGACCTGAAGAGGATATGTAGTGCCGCGTAAAATAGATTTTTAGAAGTTCGAGAATGATTCAGTAACAACTGTGGTTTCCTGGACAACTTTAGACAATATGTTACGCAGTTGTACTGTTATGTTGAGGTGGAAAACAAAAAGCAACTTCTCTTCGACTACGTCATTTGAAATGGTAATTTACCCTGCACTAGCCTGATTATCAAAAACTCCCTCCGTATTCGCTGTCTGTGAGAATCGGAGATATTCGGGGATAAGCCGACTGGTAGCAAGCACCCACAGTATTCTCTTATTGGTAAGGCTGTTCATAGCTTGACTGCTTGCTTCAGAAGATTGCGCTTGGAAGCAAAATGATGCTGCTTTAATTTCCTGGCATATGCCGCTATTATTTTACTATTGAAAATCAACGAATCGCAGAGTTACTTTCCAGAGCGTTATGCCCACCAAAATTTTCATAATGTTTTGGATTGCGATTATAATCTTTTAAAATTTTGCAACGTGCGTGGCATTCTTGTCAATTTCCTTTTTCTTGTTGGGATTCCAAAAAATCATTTTTAAGTTACTAATAAAATAATAACGCTGCTACGAAACTCCTAAAACGTGAAGCGGCATTTGCGCCTGTTATGTTGCTAGGTGGGAGCCAAAAAAGTGTCTAAAATTTTAAATCTATTGATAAACTGGGAATGCTTCAGGATCGAACACGCTCTTATGCTATAAGAAATCTTGAATTCGATACAGAATATGCCGTGGAAATGTGTTACTCAAAACTGGAATACAGCTGGATGATCGAGACAAGCTTTTTCACGCCAATGTGCGAACATCTTGCTCACAATATTAGCGAATGTCGTAAGCATCTCCTTCTTCTTTTACTTTTTTTTGTGCCTAGACGTTACTTGTAATCAGTTTTATGTATTTACTTCTACTGCGACAAGTACACATTAATAGTTTGTAACATGCAGCGCCTCCACCAGTTCATTCGCTGCATTATACTTATATTACTGCTTCGGAAGTGTATTACATTTCTTGGGAATATTACGACGATTATATGCGCTGGCCGGACACTGTACAGTTCCGAGTTGCTTTAACGCCTGGCCGGTCGTGCGTTGATTGCGCTGGCTTTTCCACTCAGAATTTTACACTACCACAGGTTGGATATTTTCGTAAATGTCAGTCTACATAAATAATGCTTAAAAATAGCTTTTGACTAAGCAGATCTGACCAGGTTAAGTTTTATCATGAATCAAACAGATCCGATTTTTAATCAGGTCCGATCATGGATTTTACCAACCAAAGTTCTTGTCGAAGCGACGTGATACCACTGTCGTCACCACGTTTGCGCTACTCTTATGCGTTTTTGTTGACGCAGTAGTTCCTTAAGCAGTATTTTAAAAAAAAATTTGCTGCATCAATCAAGTAGCAGAGAAGTGACGAAAAAGCGAGTTAAAATTTGTTTGGAAGTGGTCCCAGTATATTCCAGCAGATTGAAGGAGAATGCAAAAAGCAGACATATAATTATTCTGTTTTTGTAGAATCAGACATGGTTTTTCTTGAAGCCACATCCTGGCAAGGGGTTTGTTTTTGACGTTGAAATCACAGCGTGTGATCTTTTTAACAGAACTTCTCAAAGAAGGATGATTTCTCCACGTCCTGGAACCAGTGTTATTGAGGTATGGTCTTTTTATAGTCAACTTTTAAAATAATAGCCACCCTCTGGAAAATCAAATAGCTACGAACAACGTTCCAGTTCTTGAAATCAACGGCGCATGTCGATTAAATCCGGTTTATCGTCCTCTTCAGTGTTCACTTGTAATTCTGTGAATTCACTGAAATTTGAATTCATTCTTTGGTTTTTTTTTGCATTGTGTATTTAATGATATTTGGCTCTCGAATTGAAGAAATAGTTTCAAAAATACTAAAAAAATGAAACTTAAAATTTGCTCTTAAAATGACAAAGAAAGCAACGATTGTCTAGTTGTTTTGCAGTGTAACAGCAAAGCGAACTATTTTCAGGATGAAATCTGGCAAAACTGGCCTTACTGCTTAATGATATCGATGATCGGTTTGACATTGCCAGCCTTGTGTGTCATTTGTAGGGCAAAATGTTTTCACCGAAAAACACTGGAAAAAACAAATTTTGAGTTTTTTTTTTATTCGCATAATTTTGTGTTTCTTTTGATTCCATTTATTTATTGCAAAGCACTGATACGACAGATAAGTGCTTTGCCACTAATGTGGCAACTGGATTTTTACATTTCACTTAGTATTACCGCATTTATACAAATGACCTACTTTGTGGTGAGTTTTGCCAATACCATTTGTGTGAGGAGGAAAATTCGTGAAAAATTAAAATCCTGAAACTTCAATTTTGACCAAAACAGTTAAAAATTCAGTGGAAAGAACGCTTGCCAAAGACGTGCAAAATTTTACTAGTCAAACTTAAAATTTTGCCAGTTTGCCACAGAAATCAACTGAGCAATTGCTCCGAAAGCAGTCGAGTTCAGAAAAAATGTTGGCTCTGGTACCAAAGTGGTGGAAAAATTGCACGGTTTAGCAACTGGGAAGCAATAGTGACTTTTTTTGTGAAGCTGGAAGCACCGGTTTTTTATGAAATTTGCTGATTAGATTTCAGCTGAATTTATCGTCGGAAATTAGCCGATCAGCATTTTGCAGGGCACCGTTTTACAAGCCTGTGAGAGTCTCTTGCTTGTCTTAGGAAATTCTGTTAACAAGTGTTGAATTTGGCATCAGCTTTCTTGTTTTTACGATGTTTATCCGACATTCTTCAGATCTGTTTCGAAATTTGAGTAGAAAAGTGTGAGCACCGGATGTTCCTTGAAATGTTAGATAAATTCGAAAGGCGATCGAAATTCTACCGCTGCTAACATTTTTTAAGGAATGTTTTGAAAAGCAAAAATGCGATAACTTATTTTAGATGGCGTGAAGGAGAACAGCAGCCGTGGAGCAACGGTCGCAACAATTAGCACTTCGAACGAATTTGCAGAGCGATGTCGTGTTCGTGAGGTCAGTGTTCACCAATTCACATCAGCGCTTCATTATAACGCGATTTTTTTTTTTGTTGTTTTTATGAGGTAAGTTGGGAAGAAACGGTAGTAATGTCCGATTAATCTGGATATGACTCAGAAATGTTTTAGCTTGCATGTGATAAGCCGTCAAAGCTCGATCGCTTATTGGATGCGTTTGCAGCTTATATCTCATTCAGTAAGCGGATTTTTCATGTGAATTTCTTTTTAGCTGTTTGCAAAAATTGTAATTGCTTAAATCGGAGATTTGAAGAGACGCCTCAGAATCATAAAATGTCCTCCCGGGTGAGTGAGGTTTCGCATGCAGGATTAATGGCAAATAACTTTTTGCTATAATTCTTCGTAAGGCGGTAATTTTGTTTTCCTGACCTTGCCAGGATTGCTTGCAGGATCGTGATCTGGCCGAAAGCAGTAAAATTAGAAAAACTGAGAAGCTGAATGAATGGGTTTTTTTTGAATTTGCGAAATTAGCTTAATTATAATTATTTTTGAGGAAGCGACGCAGAAGTGATCTCGAGCGGCGTCTGTACAAGTACTGTGCGTGAGCATGAAACAGCAGATGTCGGATTAGCTTTCAGTGACCAGGTAACTAAAGCTTTTTCTATGAAGATGACTCGCTTGACCTCCACCCATCCCTCTCTTCCTCATCAGTATGTTCATGGCTTATTTCTATTTGCAGCCGCAACGAACGTGCCTCTGGGCACTAACTCACTGTGAATCCAGAGCAGCTTGTCTCAAAACCACATAACTCACATGCCCTCCTCACCCCATTTATTTTTATCATTTCAGGACGTGCATCATAGCATTTTACGGCAGTGCTCTTCAGCTGCATTGGCGGCGACGTCCGATGTTCCAGACGAATGTAACTCGAAATGGAGTACTTTCAGCGGGTTTCCTTTGAAAAAACTGTATGTGATTAGATTTCTGAGGTGTTAGTTCGTTCAAGCTCTATAATCAGATATCGTTTTTTTATGAGTTTTTGCACCACTGATGAAATACAAAAACGCATATTGCTGAGGCGAAATATAAAAACGCATATCACTTCAGCCATTAGAAACTTCTGCGATAATTTTGTACAGTTTCTGGAAAATTTGCTTTCGCACTTTGCCATCTTTCATTCATTTCTTCAATTTGTGAATTTCAAGGGCCCAGAAAGTTAACTTTTTGTCATCAGTTGATATCCAGATAGAAGATATGTTAGATAAGGGATACTTTGGCGCAACATATGTCGTGCATCTGAAAAGAACCAATCAACGTGCCATGTTTAAGTCAGGTAAAATCTTCCGACTGCCTTTGTCTATCCGAGAAAAATTTCTGAACTTTGCTGAAAAAAAAAAAGTGCGGCGTGATGTCTGCATTGCATCATTGTAAACTATCAGGATTTATACTGGGTTTCTGATTGACTGATATTGGCTGCATTTTTAGTGCGATCCAACGTAGTCTGTGATAATGAGAAAGTGGATTTTGATGGGGAAGCTCGAGTTGCTGTTTCGCTCTGTGCTTGTGGACATGATAATATTGTAAAACTTATTGGTATTTGCTTCAACGCGAGTACTCCGGTCACGCAGGTGAGTACCATCCTAGTTCCACAAGGCTTTTCGTTTCTAGTTCTTGCAGTGTGAAATTTTGTCACATAGGTGCATGGTTTGCTTTTTGAATGTTGCGAGGACGGTGACCTGAAGTCGTATCTGAAAAGGCTACGAGATGATATGGTTAGGAGTTTGTTGCTTCTCTTCTTTTTGCTTGCTGAGATAGTTTGAAACGGCATTAACTAATCCCTAAGTGAACGTTACAGTGCGAACTGAACCGAAAACTTCCTGCGGTTATCAGTGAACTTCGTCAGTTTTGCTATCAAATTGCAAGCGCACTGGTATTTTTTGTTCTTTTCACTACATGCTTTGGTGTTTTGATCAGCTGCTTCGCATTTCTCGCCACTGATGCAGCGGGCAACTTCTCCATTCTTCTTCTCTTACGCTTTTTTCACTCATTCAATTCTTTCCTATGTGAATCCTTTTTTTAAATAACTGTACAACATGGCGCACGGTTTCGTGCCACATGTTTTTTGTTCGGCAGTCCTGTTCTCTTAATCATCTTCCCCTCCCTCCCTCATTTCAGCTTTTCGTCATAACAATTTTTCAGCCTGAATCCGGACCAATAACACTGCAATGCATGTTCGTGGCCAGCCCCCGCTAGGCTAAGTCGTGCTGTATTTTAGTAGTTCCCCGTCCAGATCGTTTCCACGCTGTATTACTACGGGCTGGGTATATGGCTATTCGGTCAAGTTTACACTCTCCACTTATAGTAATTCCGTGCTGCCGTTAGCAAAAAAGGGCTTTGCACTGAAAATTTGTCAATTTCTGTATCTTGTTTGTTGCTCCTTCAGAAGATGTAATTTGTAGGCATACATCAGTGGATGCGGCTATTTGCATCGTGATGTAGCCGCTCGAAACGTTTGCCTCTTCCGAGAGTCACGCAACGGGGTTTTCGTGCATTGTGTTAAAATAGTTGGTTTCGGTAAGTTGGATCGCTTTCTTGTAATACAGGGTGAGCAGATAAAAAATTTTCTCATCTTGGACTGGAATTATATTTATGGTACTAAGCAGAAAGACAGCAGTCAGATCAATGCTCTTTACCAGTGTTTTTTTATTCAGATTCATGCCAGAATGTGGCCGAAGAGAACAAATGTCATGCGGCTGAAAAGGATGATGTGCGCATGAAATGGTTACCATACGAGTACTGGTTGGAGGGCGATTATGGCTATGAGAGCGATGTGTTCGCATTTAGTTTACTTTTAAAACGAATAGCAGTACTCATTCATAACGGTGGGGACGGAAATGAAAGGGCCAAAACAGGTCCCAACGGAGGAACGTAAAAGAGATCGCTGCTGTTTCTGAAAGATCAGGGCGATGAGCTATTTGGGGAAAGATCATTTAGTTTGTTCAGCTGCTTTTTCAATTATTATTGATACTTACTTTGATCGGTCGGTTGCTGTTTCTGGGATCATTAGCATTTCATCATTTTTCAAAAAAATTTTGGCATTCGCGGCTGTTTGCCCTCTCAACCATGATTTGTTCCCGGATGTGAACGGTTGTTATCCTTTTCGTTGCTTGCTGTGATACACTGAATGGCCGCGATTCCGTCGTTGCACTCCTCTGGCCCTCGGCGAAGCTGGAAACGGCTTGCTCGAATTTGTCCTCGCCACATCTGAAGTTTCTGGTTGCCCTCGTGATCTTTGATCGCTAGTGAGCTGTTATAATTCAGATGGGAGTATGGCTGTTTGCTTATTGAAATTGTGACACTTGGAAGTGATCCTGAAATAATGGTTCTAAACCGGAGACCAGCGATGATACGAGATGACTGTGCTCGCTACCTTGAACAGCTCAGCTCAGGCTCCGAAGCATTGTGAGTGTTTTTTTTAATTCAAATTTTGACTGCGTATTGTTTTGAACTTGCAGCATCCAGCAAATGCTTGTTGTATTTTCAGAGACAATCAGTTCCGTGCGCCACCGTTTTCATTAATGTCGCTGTGCTTGAATACGGACAGAACAAAACGCCCTGTGTTTGAAACAATTTGCAACGAATTTTTTGCACCTCCTCAGACTGCTCCTGTTTTGGCCGACGCAATGATTTACTAGCGAGTCGACTTCTGCTGTTATAGCCTATTAATATGTGATATAACGACCCGTTAAAATCTGATATGAACAGTGACTTTGTTAAAATGTTTTATGATTGTCATCAGTGATTTGCTGAAATGATTGTCACTGAGCTGTTAAATATGTTATGAAGTTATCAGTGGCCCGTCAATCTGTTATAATTTTTGTTAGTGATCTGTTAAATTGTGATATGATTATCATAATGTGACTATGACGATCTGTGATCTTATTATCAGCTTTCTGTTGACATGTGGTTTTCCTCAGTACGTAATGCGATTTTGTTACCAGTTTCCTGTCAGCATGTGATTTTTCTCAGTGCACAACTATCATTATTTCGGTGCCACGATATAATATTATTTAAAATTCCTTTCGCTATCCTCTCTGTGATTGCTTCCTCTTTTACGTCTTGCTATGTTGCACTTTTGAATTTCTTACGTCATCTGCTAATAAATTTTCATTTTTAATCATCTACAAGTTGCAAAAGCGCATCATTCTTTCATATACACTAAACTATTGTTCTGGCTGTTTAAAATTCAGTAGATTTAAAGTCAGCTGTTATTTTATGAGCGATATTTTCATTTTTTAAACGTAGAATTCAAAAATACTTCTCAGCAATCTTTTTGTTCTTCAAGTTGTTTCATTTGACTGATATTAGCTCTGTACTGCCGCTTCGGTTACTTGTGAGTACTTTTACCTATCGAACGACAGTAACGTCTTGCATACCGATACCGCAAACCTAAGCATGCAAAACTGTCGGTAGCCCTTTTTCAACGCGATAATGAGCAAATGCTAGAAAGCTGAAATTTCATGAGACCGTACAGTACGGCAAATTTCTGGTTACAAAAACGCATAGCGGAGCCGGTAACACTGGTGCGTGTCACTAAAATGTTTTCGTTAATGAATGAGAGATGATTTTTTCCATTTCTAATGGACTTTCACTGTGGCAATTTCTCACCTTGCTGAACAGTATATATTTATTTTGGCATCGCATAAGCAAAAATACGAGAAGATGGGTTCAGGCGAGAGCAACGGTAGTGTCGTAAATGCTTGGCGCCCTCAGAATAATCACGATACTTCCAATAACACACGCTGTTGTGAAAAGTATCAGAAACAGACGATCCATCACCACCGATATATACTTCCAGTCTTCAATCACCTTGAATTCAGACACTCAGGTCTCGGATACAGATCACATAAATATATTCTTGAAATGCAATTCAGGCTCGAAATGCGTTATTTCTTTGAGAGGGCATGCAAATCGTATTGCAAGGATGTACATCCAACCAGCGCATCCAGATTTCTTGGAATTTAGGAAGCAAAAAAGAATGGATTTTCAACCTGCTGGCCGTCTTTATCATCTTTCATTTGATCGGCGATAAATGACACGCTGTCCACGGCACTCATCGCTGGTGTAAATTCTTTCTGGAAGCTCGTGAAACTGCTCCCATCGTGACTCTTTGTTGTGCAAAATGATGCTCGATAAGCTGGTGTCAGGAAGTCCATCTATAAGTTAACTCTTTGCACTGTTTTACAAATCAAGAAAAATAGCGATATCATCCAGAAAATCGAGAGTACGATACGTTTTGTGTCTAGTCGACAACGGGACATAGTTGCTGTTGCGCTAGCGCATCCCAGGAAGGAGCCGTACCTGATCAAATAGAGCCGAAACAGTGTGATCACGCGGTCGGCTGAAACTTGGTAATCTTCCATCTGAACGTTTTGGCGCTGCAAACTGAAAAAAAATTTTTTTGAAGCAAATCACGCTTTTCTCCTGTTTCGAATTCGATTGCGTCGGAGCTGATGATTTTGCAACTACACTAACCTCAAATCTTTGTTCAGGGAATGAAACGGAACGAAATGCAAGAAAATCAGTCGAATTTGACGGAGTTCACTCAAATACCAGCAAGCAAACATTTTTGTGCATGCTTTAAAAGAAACAAACCGTGCTGCTGGAACTGCCTTTGCTAATTTTCGCTGGTAGCGGTCGTCTCATTAGCAGATACTTCGGCAGCAAATCCGTGAAGAATACTTTGGCCCATTCCGGCATTGTATGGGTTGCTGGGGAGCGGAAATGCACATTCTGCGAAAAAGCGAGCTCAGTCGAAATATGACCACGAACAATAACACAAATTTAGTCTCTGAACTACTGGAGTAAGAGAATATTTAGGAGAGCTGAAGAAGACATTCTACCAAGAGACTGCACTACAGCACATTTGAACAAACGTATAAATGAAACCTACCAGTGTTATGACGGTGACAATGACAGATAAGGTTACAAGTACCATTGTGAATAAAAGATATTTACCAATGAGAGGTATGACGAGCGAGGTCGATGGAATGATTTCCACTGCAAACATTGCCCAGCCATATTTTTTTTTGAGATGAATTTTTCCGTTGAAAATTTCTTTGTAGATAAAAAGCTTTCTTTTTTACTTACCAAGCAGTAGAAAAAATATTGTGAGCGAAATTAGTATATTCAGACACAGTGAAATCTTTTCGCCACCATCCGAGGGCAAATAGAAAACGAGCACTGTCAGGAAGCTGAAATAATCCTGAACAAATTGCAAGTAACAGGTAAGTAGTTACATTTTATTTGATTCAGAAACCACGTAATAAGTATTTTCTACAACAGCGTTGCTAAATGTACATGAATGAGGTGCCTAAATTCTTTAGTTTGCGGCCACTCCTGAGAAAATAACTTCTCTTGAGTCTTCTGGTAATAATTTAGCCCTAGTGTGCTTAACACGCCTAATTCTCATAGAACTATTAATTAGGCAGCTTTGCTAATCAGTATTCGTAAAATGGTTGTCATTTGGGCATCAAGCTTCTCCCTCCATTTCTCGTTCCAGACAAAAGAGCAAAAGGGTTCTAAAATCCTTTGTGCTGTAGTAGCAATGAAGTTAATGACTATGTTTAAAAAGCATCCGCATGCTAGCTTTCGCAGTTTCGAACTTGCAACAGACCACACATAAAAATATGATTTGCATGTGACGCGAAAGCGCTTAAAAATAAGTAAATTACATAAAATAAGAAAAATTTTATGTCAAAAATATGCGTTTTGCTCAAGATGCCCGGTCCACGCTGCTGCAGATGCCTGAAGAGCAGATGCAACTTACTTGATGCTCACAATTGGAAATATCAGATAGACGATGTAGAAGAGTGTTTTGCGACGCAAACGTATTTCATAAGTCAAGTCAATGAAAGGCGATTCACAGCATGGATATCTGAAATTCCCCAAAATTGAATGAATGAGTGCAGGCATGAGCACGGAAACGGGATAGATACTCTGTTTAGCAAATAATTGCTGAGACCGTCCAGTAATGTATCGTGACAAATTTAGGCTGCTCATCAGTTTTATTTATGAAAATTTTAGTGTTTTTAATTGCTCATCCGTTACTCAGTGCTTAGCCAGCGACTCGCAACACGATTTTGAAGTGAGAAATTCGTTTTTAGTTAAAAAGAATCGCCACAAAAATCCTTGCAAATTAGTGCATTAATCCCGCATAGTGTGTTATCAATTTCACCTGTACACGCATTTATCTTTTAAATGCTCTTAATTAATCAACACCATAGATGCCTCTTTGACGAGATTCAGCTGCGGTGCTAAATAGGATCCTACAATTGTGTGCGGCTTGATGGACAGAAGTATTCCTGTTCCGTTGATTAATTCTTGTGTTTTATATATGTCATCATTATAAATTTCATTAGCAAAGCCCCAAGAAGATTTCCTATTTGCTGAATAAACGTACAAAAAAAAAAAAAAAGCAAGAAAAAAAAAATCAAACAAAGAGGACCTTTTGAGATGGCGCTTCCCTGGAACGCCGAGAACATCCCATTCAACACTTGGATAATAATCACTTAAATCTATCCCTAGAATGTAATTTTTGAAGTGTTCTGTCGTTAATTCACAAAATTGGCAATTTGGAACATTGTTTAAGCAATGCAAATTACCGCGCAGTTGTATTAAAAAGCCTGAGACTATCTGCATATGCATTTCAAAAAATTTAAACGTGCCTTCATCGACTACCCAAATAGTCTCGTCGTATTCACCATCAAAGCCAAGTACAGTTTCTGTTTCCGTTCGCTCAATATGTGAATCTTTGTGTTGCAGATCCACTTCCAAACCACCATAAGTCCAGGAACCTACAACAGAAGCCTGAAATAATGCGCCATGAGCTAATACGGCTATTGTTTTTCCCAAATCGTTGCTGCGATTGAGCATATGAAAATAGGCTTTTCACACTATTCCTTCATTTTGAACTGTCTTTCCCAGCAGTTTAAGTTTTCTGTAAGAGCGTGAAATGAAGCAAACTGAAAGTTGAGTGCCCTACTGACTTGCATTTTTGATGCAAATCACAAGATAAACTGCCCAAAAAATCCGTGTAGAGATCCGATCTCAATGGTATTACCAGGATGTATCCACATGCTAAATGCAGCTGTATTAAGCGTTAAATTTCTAAGTTTCTGTCTTCATTTTTATCGCCTGATCGGTGTATGTGTGCCATCTTTTGAAAAGATTGATGTTCACTTTCCTAAGTGATCAAGTTTTGCACCTGTGCTTCACTGCTTTCAACACAGTTTTGCTGAAGAAACGCGACCCTCCGGTTTCGACCCTTTGGGGGGCATCGACGATGCTGTGAAACTACCAGCAGTGCTTCTGCGTGAAATTTATACATCACAAGCAGTGATCGATATCACTGGAATTTCCACAGACGCAGATGTAATGCAAATAAAAAGAGGGAGAGAAATAGTGAACTTACCAAATTTCATTTCGCAGGTTTGCACATCGAATGGGAACCATTCAACATCAATTTGGCACATGCTTAAAGAAAACGAATGTCGAGTCGGTAAATGAGTTTCGACTGCCCCAGAAGTAGCTAGGGTGGAACATTTACCTGTAGCATTTTATAAGTTAAATAAAACCTTTTATAGATGGCAGGAGGTGACCACTCCACAGTACCATTTGGTGATAACTTCGCCTTCGTCATTATCGACACTTGATAATTTCCGTCGGCGCTGAAATTGCCAGTGGGAATGTTTGGAAAATACGCAGATTTCATAATTCTAGTTAACCGCTTTCAACCAGTTTATAAGAAAATAATAAAAATCGAGTCATACTTTTTGCACTAAATTGTCGTCAAAGCTGACAGACATGGTAAAGTGTCAAGTCAAGCAGCACAGCTTTGATGCTAAGGAGCGAGGGTTCGACTTTGTCTACGATTTGTTCATTCATTTCCATGAATTAAGCTGGTACTGACGCATGGCTAGGGAGAGAAATCCGCCACCAGATTGCTGAAGAATGAGTCACCTGCAGCTTTCTTGTATGAGGTTGCTCTTGGTGCCCCGCGTCGGCTATTTTTGCGCGTCTGTGCTACTCCTAGTGGATAAAAACAGAGGAAGAAGCCGTAGAGCTGGAGCCCCTTCGGGAAAATGAATGCCAGCAGACTAACCATCAGGCGATGAAGCACTGGTTAAAGTAAAACTTGATAGGTGCATAATCGGAGAAGGACGCTGTGAACTGAAGCTGATCCAAACAAAAAAGCTGATTAAGTGCCAGAAGCAAAAAATAAAGTTTGAAACTATTTATTGGAAGAAATAACATGCAGACTTGTTGTAGAGCACAATGTCGGGTAACCATATCATATCAGAAGGTACGTATAATACGTTCACTCCACCGTAGTCTGCTGGATTCCATTTCAATTTATAGTCTGTCCAGCTCGGAAAAAAACATTATGACAATATAAGAAGACTGTGGCATGCATACATTAGCATGTACCCCATCTTGCCCCTGGTAATACTTTAAAATTGGTCATCCCTCTGCATCTAGAGAAAAGTACCCTTGAAAATTTCTACACTATCAACTTCTATCAAATTTATTCCGCTCTCTCCCGCAGGCAGAGACGTTCGTAGCACGTGCCAGCAGTCATAGCCACACTTGAATATAAAATATCCTTGCAAAGTTTCAGCCTCGCAATTTGTCCTGTGAGCAAACTAGCTCATTTCGTAACAGATGCCTTCGGAATATCCTATGTCGCGGCACAAGTGCAAATTGAAACTAGATTTAGGGATACGATATCCCAGACAGACGACAAATGTTCTGGCAAAATCTCGACTATTCTTTTTCGGGTAGTTTTTGAGTTGGTACGGTGCCAGCTGTAAAATTCGCCCTTTCTGTGCGTATGGCGTAAGCGTGCGCGATAACTGAATTTGAAATTTTTAGCTCACACTTGGACAGAGGAAATCAGTGTGAAATTTTAGCTTTCTAACTTGTTTGTTCCTCGAAATCGTTCCCTCGCCAAAAAACTCGAGTAGCTTCGACATTCGTAAGTCAGATTTAAGTGTACGTGAGCGATGATTCAGACTGTGAAGACGACACGTATGCTGGGAAAACGCTCATAAAATTTCAGCTTCCTGCTTTCTTTGATTCCGAAGTTGAAAGTGGGTGACAAAAGTTCACTCTCCCACACCATACACACGCACATGCATACACACACCGACAGCATCAGGATAATATGCGTTTTTGCTCACTGTGGCAGCAAAAATGCATTAAAAAATTGATAGAGATTACATGTTGAAGCCAAACATTTGTCGTCATTATCTGATTCTTTTCGTGCTGAAACATTTGAAAAATTCAGTATTTTGGGAAAGATTAAGAATGAATGTGCAAATTTAGGTGAATATGTTGAGGCTAAATGCGAATTTTCTACTTTGAAGCGTCTGACTACATTTGTAAAGAAAACTGCTGACAAGCTTGGTGCAGCAGTAATTAGCGCTGTTCTCGTGCGAAAATTCGAAGATTCGGCTCTCTGCAGTTTGGTTTGTTTTGATTTAAAATTGCTGCTGTTGCATGCCAGGAGTCAAATTTACCGTCTAAGCATTTTTCGAAAAAGCGAGCCATTTGCACCCTATTAACTACTGATTGCTGTTTAACATGTTATCGCTCAAGATGTGAAAAAATGCTTCGCTCTCAAAAAGAAAGTAATGACAAAGGCGGGTTTTGAATTTTGACAGTTGAAAATAGTGCATTGTTGCAAAATACAATATCAGCTAAAAATAAATAGTATTTAACACAGCGTCATTTTAGGCCTTATTTCAAGACATTTTGAAAATTTCAAATTTTTAACTGTCAGACGTGACTGTTTAAATGCAACATACGCTTCTATAACAGAAAATATGCATACCACATCGAGAAGCTGCGAGAGTTTTAGCTTGAATCGTACGATCAGCGTGTCGCTATCATTTTCAACAGGCCTTACAAGCTTATTGTAATCAGCCAGGAGATCCTCAAAGAGTCGGCTAGCGTCCCGACTGCACTGGCTCAATGGTAAAAGCCACTCGACTGAGATCACGAATAATAAGATTCCCGAAATTTTCGTCCATTCATTCATGTACTGGTTTTCGATTGATCACTGGAAAAATTGATTTTTACAATCGCAGCTGCAAAAGTAGTAATAGTTAGCAAGCCGAAAAATGTAGCAAAGCTGAAACGCGGAGCAAAGCCGACCAGGTGGTTGTGTGCTATATGCTAGTGCTCAGTTTTTGAACATTTCCCTTTTGAACTGGAAACCAGTCAATCCATTAAAAAAAGAGCAGCAGTCGGATGCAACACAGAGTTCAACAGTTAAAAGCTAAGATACAAATCGATCGCGTAGTGTGATCCATCCATTGAACATCCTCCACCGGAATTCGTCCCGTCCTTTCGCAAAACGTTTTGACGCGAATAACATTATCAGGCAAGTTTGTCGGAGTACCTACACCAAGCTGCGGCTGACTGAAAGCCTTCTCGAGACTGGACTAACTGCTAAAGATATACATCTTGACCACTGTTGAAAAGGGTTTTTTTTTCATCAGACTGTGCCTGAGAAACCAATTGCCTAAATTGCCTATTGTGCTTTTATTCTGGACAATATGCATGATAACGGTATGCCTTCCAATATCCGTGGCCTCTGTCATCATTTCATTTGCAAATTAATCTCATATCATCCGAATATTTTTACTTACAAATGCTTACAACTGCCATACATACTTTTTTTTGTGTACGAATTTTACATTTTTTCGTTCTGAGGAAATGTGCGACTTTTAGACCATGATTTTACTTTTTTATGCGTCTTTGCATATTATGAGAATGCAAAAACACTTATTAGCGAGAGGCTGTCTGTGCGTGTCTGTGTTGTTGCCCTTTGGAACTACGTTCGGGAGTATATGCACACGGCCTGGAAATCCGAGCAAGTTGGAGTCGGTCTTTCCTCCGGAACAAAATTCCGCATGAACCATAACGGATCCGAAAGAAAAAGGTAGCCCAAGTGAGAACAGACCAATTCTTTTTTGACAGTTTTTTTTCCGCAGAGTTATCAATTAAACAAATGCACGGTGTCGTCTTTGGAATTTGTGTGCATCATCCCGAGAATGGCAAACGGCGAATGAAATTTTGGAAATGCTTAAACCGCTTCAGCTTTTGTATTCATCAGCACTCAGTAGCAGTCTCTTGTCGTGTCTTGTAAGAATCGTGTCAGATTGTCGCACTCCATTTTCCAGAGATATTTTAACAGCATCAGTTTTACATGAGCACAAACAAAAAGTTCACAGTGTCGAATTAAACCACGATACTGAACGAACAACGTATAAGAGACAGAAATGTAATCATCAGGCAAACGCCACCGAGATCGTTGGGATACCGTTCCGGAGCACCGATTTCATTGCGACACACATTCAAATACCATTCACTCGGAAATCTGCATCCAACTTCACTTCTGCAGTATCCACGAGATACGCACATCAGCTTTTTAAAGGCTGTCTTGTAGTCGAACGTAGCCAGCAAATCATACTTCCTCTTGTGGCCCACGCGAAATTCTGCACATCTCTAATTATTTGTAAACGGAGAACACTTTTCCTGGTCACTGACTGATTAGAAACCGGTAGCGCAGTGAATTAAGGAGGAGATGATGAGAGGGAGGAGGTCAAGCAAGCTGATTCTTACCTTCGCAAAAAATTTACTTTTTTCAAAAAATTACTTTTTGTGCTACTTTGTATTTTTGCTTATTAGAATAATCAACTGAAAAATTTAAAAGTCCGATCTTCCTAAAAAACTGTTGGAGCTGCATTCCCTGAAGTTTTTTAAAAATGCTTCATTGCCACCCTCGAAAAACTGCCGAAATCACTGCTGCTTCAGTGGTCATCTAACCAGTCGCTTTCGTCAGTCAAAATTATCACCGCTTCTTTCATCGGTGACAACATTTCGTATCCTTATGCTATTCCATTCAAAACTGTGAGACAGGAACGTAGCCACACAGCCTTTTCAACCTAATATTTTGAGGACATTGGTGAACAACGTACTGTGCAGAAAACAACTTTCATTTCAGGACCCATTCAATTGCCAGATACTTGCTGTACGGAATCGTGTAACAGTGGCTGCAGTGGCACATCCGGAAAGCAAGCTGTAAACAACGCACAGCACTGTCGAGAAACTGGCTCTGTCATCCTGAAACAACCCACAACTAACTTCAGCAAGACCGAGATTAGCTGGAACTGTCAAAATTGTAAACAGCAAAAACTGTCGATTTGCTACCTTAAAAGGACTGCTTTCCTAGTTCTTACACAACTCGGATTTGTATACAGAACTGCAAAATTCTTGCAAGTATTATTAACCTGTCAATAAGGGCAGTCTTTACATCATGATCCTGTGAAATGTGCTCCTGAATAGTTTGCCTATCCACGTCCGCTCGCTTGCAAATTGAGCACTCATATGGTAGAACACACAGATGTTGCTTAACATGCCTGTACAGAACAAGATAATCGCCTTCGAAAATCTCCTGGCAAAACCTGCACGTCCTCCTTGAGTTTTGCGAATGAATTATCGGCTGGACGCGAGCCTGAATTTAGTCTGTTATGTTCATAGTTCTCCAGACAAAAAAATTTCCATAACTTTTCATAAATTCGAAAAGAACGAAGCGCGTGCCCTCCCCCTTGTCTTCGGACTAATTTTGAGAAACTAACCTGAGGAGGATTATTTTTGGGTGCAGCGGCCAGAAGACTCGTTAACGTGCTGCATCGCGACGACGGGCTTCGTTCAATACACTGGACGGCAGTTGGTTTTTCTCCAGGAACAGAAACTGGCCAGTTTAAATGGCTCTTCACATTCCAGAGATGCGACGCGCCAGTATTTAAAGGAATATCAGTTTTGGGAAGCAATGGTGCTCCGCTACTCGCTGATGTGGGTCTCCCAATAGACAAGTTTACTGGTACTGTCGCAGAGGGCGATGACAAAGTGGGCGAATATGGCAGAACAAAAGTAGGCGCAAACGTGAACAGCGGCGATACAGCACTACGAACAGCTTCGAATGAGCAGTATGTTGCTGACGGAATGCACAGCTTTGATTCAGTCTGAGATTTCAGTGATACAGAGCGTGACAATGACGGCTTCCGAAACACACGACATAACGGCATGTGTTCGGAGAAATGATCCGGAAAGCACCGAGATACAGTCTGCAAAAAACCCTGCATTTTTAATGATCCACGAGAAATTCATTCCAGATAAATGGAAAATTTCTGTGGTGCAACTGCTCAGTACGATCCGGCTCACCAAACATACCCTGGAGAACTCTTCCTTTAAATATGGATCCAGTTCGATAATATCTGTTGGGGTTCGTTTATACTTGTGCACTTCCTTCATGTGTCGAATTAAGAAGTTCTTGGAACGATGTCTCAATGAGCAGTCGCCAATGGAGCATCTAGGAAAAAAGCACTGTAGGAAAAACGAGTTATCTACGGCATGCGAGTTTCCAGAAGCAGCAGATTATTCACATCCAGTAAGAATGCTGTGATTACACGAATTGACGCCAATCAATCGCTTCTCATTTAACTTGTTTCGCGTCTGAGAAACGAACTCACACAGCAGCATCGTTTTTGCATGGCCTGCTGTCAAAACTAAATAAATAATTGGCCAACGCACGGGCTGCCCGTGCGAAGATGCGTTTTTTGCATAGTTCCCCGCAGT